CACACTCCTGCCTGTGAACACACACTCCTGCCTGTGATTGCATACTCCTGCCTGTGCCCAGTCACTGGCGTGACATCATTAGCCTTGGATAATAATTGGCTGTGTGTTCGGGTATTTCTGTGACTGATTTGTTTGTTTAAGTATTTTTTACACTTGACATGCCAAACAGCAAAAAAATCATAAAGCTATTTCATTCCAGGAGAATGATTACCCCGTAAGAGCACATGGGACTATAACGGTGGGTGATGAACTCTAATCTTCAGCATCTTCATGTACTTCATTAAGCTCTTTACAAAAACAAGAAATCTTCCTGCTTTTGTAGCACAGAAATTTTTTAAACATCTGTGCTTTCATTAATTAAATTTACCAGAAAATTCTAGTTATGTTAGGCACAACATGTTTAATAGCCTCAAATAACTTTAAGTCTTTCTGCTGGTCTGCAGAGAAAACTGCTTTAAATAAAGTTGTCCCCTTCCCCACACTGTTACTACAAAAGATGAATAAGATATAAAAGAAAATTTAAAAAAGTATGAGCTTATTATTTATTGGTTGGCATCCTCACTTTTTCATCAGGTTACTTGTCTCCTGCTCTTTGTACTCACGTACAATATGTTTTGATATGGTCAAATTACACACAAAAAGTTTTTATTCACATATTTTTCTGTTTTTCCATCCAGCCATTATCTTTACCCGCTTCTTCCTTTTCGGGTCACGGGGTCACTGGTGCCCATATCCAGCAGTCACTGTGCGAGAGGTGGGGGACACCCTGGACAGGTCCATCATAGGGACACAGAGACAAACGAGACAAACAACCATTCACTCTCTCACTCACACCTCGGGACAATTTAGAGTTACCAATCAGCCTAACATGCATGTTTTTGATCTGTGGGAGGAAACTGGAGTACTCGGAGAAAACTCTCACAAGAAAATACAAACCACCCAGGAGTCAATTTTTTTAGTGTAAAATGGATGAGATTTGTCCTTAAAGTTGCTCAGTTCACAAAAGAAGTTCATTCGTGAAGAAAACTTTTCAGTTTGAGTTACTCGATTCATAAAATCTGCTCTTAATGTTCAAAGTTGGCAGAAACATAAACACACACATTTAAACTGTGTTTGTACCACCGAGGAAACTTACTCTTGGACTTTTTGCTGCTGGTGATGGAGCAGAGACTTTATTCAACTTTCTAATGTAACATATTTGACATGCCAAATTGGACATGAAAGCCAAACGTTTGAATTTAGAAGTAAAGTTAAAAAATATGTCAATAAATTCATTAGTAAGGCTGTGACTTAAGCCTGATAAAACAGTTAAATATTGAGTTTTAACTGTCAGTAGCAACATTTCTGACCAAAATATTCAGTTTATTATGAAGAGATGAAGAAAAATGTGACTTTTTCTTTCAAGTTGGAAACAGGATATTGTTAGATTTGAAATGACAGGACTGAAAATTAACATTTGTATTAGTTTTATATTAGCCCTGTTTTTAAGACTTACAGTAATAATAGGTATTGTGTGAATGTTTATGAAGCATTCACACTATTGTGATCCAGTTTTCTTTTGTATGTTTTTCGGCATCTTACTTGTTCCACAGTTTTTGCACTATATCAACAAATCATATATCACACCGTTCAGCTTGTTCAGGAGAAGGACGCTATGACTTCTGGTATTGATGCAACTTTAGCTTTTTTTAATATTTAGCCTGTTCTGCCCCTTTCATCTCATAGATAATGAACCGAGTTCATTTTGCATCCTTCAAAATTTTTACATCTGTTCCCAAACTTTTACTGCTCCTTTCACATTTTGTTCTGCTTCAGCTTCTTTCAGCTTCCTTGTGCAAATTTTAACTTTTTTCAGCTACTTTCAGCTGTTTTATCCAGCTGTTTGTGCTCTTTTCAAATTCTTTATGCTATTTCAGCTAGTTGTTTTATGCTACTTTTAGCATTTTCAGCTAATTCCAGATTTTTTGTGCTCATTTCAACTTTTTTCGGCCTAATTCAGCAAAAAATGTGCTCTCTCCACTTCCTTCTGGTAAATTAAGCTCTCTCTGCATTTTTAGTTACTTTTCAGCTGTTGCTTTTTGTTGTTGTTGCTGTTTGCAAATTTCAACTTTTTTCAGATAATTTCCATTTTTTTGTGCTAATTTCTGCTTCTTTCAGCCTAAATGAGCTAACAGGTTATTTCTGCTTTCTTCTGCTAATTTAAGCTTAATTGTTCTATCCTTTCAGCTTCTTTTTTTTTTTTTTTTTTTAGCATTTTTAAGCTAATTTCAGCTGTTTGCAGATATATACAAGTTTTTCATGTAAATTTCTGCTACTTTCAGCCCAATTAACTTCTTTATGTTAATTTTAGCTTGTTTAGGCTCCTTTCAGCTTATTTCTGCAATTTTAAACTTTATCTACAATTTTAGCTAAAATTTCGCTGTTTTTATTCTATTTTTAGCTTTTTCAGCAAATTTCATATTTTTTGCATTCCTATTTTCAGTGTAATTTAGCAAAAAAATGTGCTCTCGCCACTCGCCGACTGGTGACTTAAGCTTCTTTCTGCTTTTTAAGCTACTTTTCAGCTGTTTTTTTGTTGCTAACTCCACTTTTTTGTGCTAATTTCTGCTTCTTTCAGCAAACATGCTCTTTCTGCTTTCTTCTGCTAATTTAAGCTTGTTCTACCTTTTCAGATAGCTTTTTAGCATTTGTAGCTAATGTCAGGTGTTTTCAGATAAATTCAAGTTTTTCATGATAATTTCTGCTACTTTCAGCTTAATTAACTTCTTTCTGCAAATGTCAGCTTGTTATGCTCCTTTCAGTTTATTTCTGCTAGTTTCAGCTTTTTCTGCAATTTCAGCTACTAGTTAGCTGTTTTCATGCTAATTTTAGCTTTTTCAACCAATTCCACATGTTAGCTCATTTCATCTCTTTCCGCTTCCTTCTGATAGTTTAAGCGTCTTCCTGATTTTCAGCTTCTTTTCATCTACTTTTTGCTAATTTCATCTTTTTTTTGCTGTTGCTAATTTTCTAATTTTTGTGCTAATTTCTTCTTATTTAAGTCGAATTCAGCAATTGTGTTCATTCTGCTTCTGCTATGTTAGCCTTTTTCTTCCATTTCAATTATATTTCAGCATGGGTTTAGCTAATTTCAGCTGTTTTTAGCAATTTCTTCTGTAATAAGCACTCGCATTGTGTTTTTGCAGGAAATGAAGTTTCTCTAGTTAGAATTAGTCAATAATTTTCCAATAGAGACCAGTATTCATGTCCTTTTTACACATGAGAACACTGGAGGCCATGTTGGATTGTTTTGTGGCCTAAAGTAAAGCTGATGATCCTTTCATGGTATGCTGTGCTTAGAGCACATGCATGAAACAGTCACTCAGACATTTGTCCAGCTTTGACCCCAAGAAAAATTAGTTAAAATGTTTATTTTTGAAATTTTAATCTTTGATTTTGATGTGGAAAAAGTGCCAGAGAACGTCAAATGGGATCCATTAAACTCTTGTTGAGGAACCTGCAACCAAGAAAAGATGTCAGGTCTGACTGGAGGTCATGCATCGACTGAAACTGGCCCTGGTTAGAAATAAGTTTGGCCCCTTTTGTAACTCGGTTCGACGCTCCTGGTTAGAGGATCTTGAGCTGCTGACTGTTTAGTTCCTGTATTCAGAGCAGCTCAGTTTAATGTTCTGATAGATTTACAGCTGATACTGGTGGCTGTGGCTGCTGTGTTGACCACTTTGGTTCTCAACCTTTATGGAAACACTTTAGGAGCAGCCGGAGGGATGAAGCTGTGAAAACATTTTAGCTCTTTTTATTTTCAAACAGTCTTATTAGTTCTGTCAAGCAGACACTTCCAACTGGTACAGGCTAATTTGTGTGAAACAGTCTGAATGAGGATGAGCACCTTCCAGGCTGAGGTTATGATCCTGGGGGGCTGACCGGCCTGATAGTAAACGGTGGAGGAGTGAAGTTCTCCTGGAGTCTTGTGAACAAGTATGGTGGAACAAAAGGAGAACACGACAGTCAGCACTGGTGTGTTGAGCCAAAATATTGATTCACTCACTTGCCAGACTGCTGTCCAACCCCTAACTGTAGCCATGATTCATAGGTAGTGACCGAAAGAAAGAAATCCCAAATAAGAGCTAAAATTAGCTTCTGCTGAAGAGTGATGAAGACTCAGCCTGAAGAGTTAGGTGAGCAGCTCATCCTGTCAGGAGGAGCTCCAAATCTCCTCTGCATCAAAATGAGCCCATTTAGGTGGGACACCAGTCGGACTGGGAGCAGAACTTTGGGTGGACAGAGGACTGGAGAAACTTGGGAGCACCTTGGTTAACCCTGGTGGAGCTGAAACTGTTAGTCGGGGGTGAAGAAGAGCTGAGGATCTCTGCTCTGGAGCCTCTACAACCTGGTTGGATGGATGGTTGGATGAAGTATTCTTCCAGTTTCACTGGTCCATGTCTCACATTAAACACTGTGGGAATCATTTCCATCTTGAGAGAGAGAGAGAAAAAACCATTTCAAACATAAAACAGGCTGGTATCTCTTACTCACTGTTCTCCTTTTGAATATTCATAAAACTCCATTTTGCCTTTAGCGCGTTCAGAAAGGTCTTTGTTTCTGACATTGTCTCAATTAGGACAGAGGGAAGCATACTGGGAAATAAAAAAAGCAGACATATTAAAAGCTCCATGTCTCCTCTCCTTGTCCCTCCCTCACTCACCGGCGGTAGCAAACCCATTTTATGAGTCACGGGTGGAGCAGACCAGTCGTCCTTTTTCAGACTTTAACATCAAGATCTCTCCACCACCAACAACACTGGCTTCCAGGAAAACTCTCTCTCTTCGTCTGGTACGACACCCCCTCCCTTCTTGTCGACCCTCTCTCACCCTCCCCTGTTATTTCCTCTTCCCCTTCCTTAGCCTCTCATCCCTCTCTCTCTTGCCTTCTTTCTTTCTCCCCATCCCTCTCCTCCTTTACTGCGGGTGTCTGGGAGGCTGTTTTTCCTCTGTCTCTTGCTCATGAAGGGCCGCACTAAGCTCCCTTCTCTCTGCCCGTGTGTGGTAGGTAAATTCACCTCCGTGTTTGTGACGTTCTTCTCGTTCCATCTCGCTGTTGCTGCCTCTGTTTTGCATGTTAGCGCACAGTCTGCAGGCTTGGGGCAGCTCTGGGTCTACAGTCGTGCATATATTGCATCGTACACGCTCGTCATCCGCGCCAGTGTCAGAGATGAATCTGAGTTTTGTTTTTGCCGTCCTCGTACGTCAGCCTCTGTCTGGGTTTAATCGTTCCTTTTCAGTGTTGCGTATGAATATGGCCCGATGTGCCTGTGCACCGGGGAGCACGTTCAGATCGTACACAGCAAGTAAAACTGCAGAAGACTTGTTGATTAAATCGTCACAGGCTCGTATGTGCGTGCTTATTCTATTCAAGGGGAGGCTTCGTCACGTCTTATTTTGATAATAATTCATATTCAGCTGCATCTCCATCTTTGGAACCCAGCAAGGGTCAGATGTAGGAGTAAAAATGGAGGTTGGGTCCCTCAGTTTAACACATTGTTTGCACAGATTTGCAACATTTTTTAGTCTTTATGTGCAGACGATGTGTTGAGCTGTGTCTTCAGTGGGGAGCTGAGGGGGACGATCTAAACAGGGGGAGCAGAATTCAACACAACACCAGACGGGAAATGATTCAGACTGTCTGTAAAATATGACATCCAGCTATTATGATCAATAACATCAATATATTGTCAGTAATATTATTCAGCGTTTGTTTATCCGACTTTTATGTTGCCTGTTAAAGCGAAACTAATTATGTGAAAAGGTTGTGAACAAAATTGTCTTACCTGTTGTAGATAGCTCTTTGAATAACCCACGTTAGAAAAATAGTTTAATTATGTTTGGAACGATCATCTAACGAGCTAATCAGAAAAAGATCAAGTAAAACAAATCTCTATAATTGACTTTTTTTTTTAACGACATTGTTAATTTCACGTTATGTGGTTGTTTTCATTAAATTATATGGATTTTTACAAGTGCAAATAGCAGCGGCAGCTAACTGTAGCACCTTTGCTGCAGCTTTCAGCACTTCTAGCAACTAAATCATTATATTTCTGTAAGAATAACCATAATATGAAACGATTTAAAGATAAGCAAAAGAGCATTTGAGTGAATGGCAATAATTTTTTATAGATTAAAGCTTTTTTTGACAACAAAAATGCACTTTAGATTAGGCTTTTCTTGGACAAAATTTAAGATTTTTAATTTGTCCAGAGTTAAACTCCGTCTTCTCATTCTTTAATTTTAATTTTTTTACAGAACCCTGCTTCAAAAGGTCTGAACTCGTAGTTTAATGTAATTCAAATGGGTAAACTAGGGAAAAAAGTGTGTGCGTTGTGTAAAAATCTGGGGAAAACGTGTCCATAATTTTAAAGATGGCTCCTAAATCCTGGCTCTACATAAACACCTGTTTTACTGGGCTCAGAAAAGGGTCTGCTTCGATCAGAATGATGCTGTAACTTATTTACTTAGCAGAATTTTTCAAAAACGTTCTTGTTTCTAGAACAAAAAAAAAGAAGAATTTGTTAAATTATTCAACTTTACTGAAACAAAACAATGCCCGATTGCTTTTTTAATGACAGAAGGACATCTGGTATCAAATCAGAGCCCAGAACTGAGAGAATATATTTCCCTGATCTTAGTTTATTTATATATTTAAATTTATTTTTTTTACATCTGGCACTTGCTGGGCTCCGTACACCATTATACAATACAATGGACATAAACAAGATCCTCAACTTGATAAAAGTGTTGACCACCATCATTAATATTTAATTCTGTTTTTTACAGTAAAAGGCTTAAAATGAACTGAAGAGTTTAGAAATCCAGAATGAATTAGAAGAAAAGAAATCAGCGTTCTGCTCAGGTTCAACGAGGTTAAATCATGCTGAATATGTGGCACAGATAAAATTATGTATGTAAAACAAAAGCGCAAGAAGCAATCCAAGAGATCTTCAGCCTTGATTAGATGAGATGACTTGATGAGACTTTATCGTGGCTGGTTTGATGCTCCATATTCAGAAACCACTGAGTGTTTTAAGTTTAAAAGTGTGTGTGCTGGTGTGTGTGTGGGCTAAAGCATTTTAAATTGATTGTTTTGCATTTAAAATTCATTATTGTTAAAAAAGAAGCTCAAATGAAAGAAAATTATAATTTCTGTTGATGTCATGATGACAATTCAGACTACAGGCAATCCATTTTAGTGCACTTTTTGTTTCCTGTCCATCATAGTAATGCATTGTTGAACTTCTGGCCACAACGTAAGGGTGCTTATGTCCACGTCAGATGAAGTTTGATGTGAATACACAGTTCAGCAGACTAAAGTTAATAAAATAGACCATTAAACTATCTAAAGGTAACACTGATTAGTCAATGCGAAGGCTAACGGTTCATCAGATGATCCAGAACAATGAGTTTGAGTGACAGAACGAGGCTGCGTCAAAATTCATCTGATGTGATGCACAACGAGCCGCCACCTTCAGAACAACTGCAGGACGTCCGTACAGTTCGAACACATTTAAGTGTAAGGAAAAAAGGTGCATTCATTGTTCAAATTTAACCAGCGTTCTTTAAAGGAAGATGTGTGTGTGTGCTCTGTGATGAGGAAGACGCTCAGCTACTACCACAGAGGATTCTGCTTCAATATTTGTAAAACTGACTGAGTTGTAGACATCGTTGTGTTTGACAAGGTTAGTTAGCGTGGAAGTATTTGAGCTCAGTAACAACTATTTTTGTCCCTCGCTGTGGAGCAAAGCGGAGAGAACCTTCGTCTGCCTGTTCGTACATATGAGCACGATAACTAAAAAAATAAGCGAGATACTGATTTCCGTTTTGTTGCGTGACTACATCTATGTGTAAAGAGCAGGGGCGATTCTAGAATCTGCCCTATAGGGGTGCTTAGCCCCAAGTTTCTGACAATGGCTCTTGTCTTGAACAATGTGGTGGCCAGTGGCGTCAGAAGCTTTCATAATGTGGGGGACACACACTAGTGGGGGGTCTGGGGGTCCTCCCAGAAATTTTTGAATAAAGATATAGATGCCATTTCCTGCATTCTGGTGTAATTTAACAGGCTGTTCTATGTTTACCTCCACAAGTAAACACTTGGTTCAATAACTATTTTAGAGAGCATGGTATAAGAAGAAGTAGCGCTAAGCTAGCAGCGTGCAATACAGACGCGCTAGCTAATATGCTACAGTTGTAGCACTTTGCTTTACATGACACAACCTAATAAAATGCTTTGTACAAAATCAGCTTAGTGTTAACTGATCATAACAAACAAAAACCAGAAGTTGCAACATATATCTACATACAAAGCACAACTAGCTTTAAGCATTAACCTTTAATTTAACCATTAAGCATACAATGTAATTATGACAGAAAATGGAGGATTTACCTGCAGTTACCTTTGTACAGATTGAACATGTGGTACTTCCTGTTTATCACTGTTGTATTCAGCTGCTCATGAGGTCAGCTGCAGAACTTCATCATCTTTTACATTTTTCCAGACTCAGTTTAGGTTTTGGAAATGGAATAAACTGTATTTCACTCTCTAAAACAGGGCTGTTCAACTAAACTGCTCAGGGGGGCACAGTTACTGAAAGCCAGTAGCTCAGGGGCCGGACATCCAGCAAAAGTTAAAAGTTAAAGTCACTATGTAAATAAAACCAAGTTTTACAATGATCTGCTACTTTTTAAATTTGTTTATTGTGTTGCATTGAATCATAAATGCAATAAACAGAACCCGAAACCCAAACACAGAAATGCCAAAAACAAAACTAAACAAAACATAAAAAACATTATTTTTCAAGGGTGCCGAGCTAAAATGCAGGGGTGCTTGAGCACCCCCAAAAAAGAGGCTAAAATCGCCACTGGTAAGAAGGATCACTACTAAAAAATGGGTCATCAAAATCCAAAATGGCTGTCAGCACATATATGTAAACCTTGTGAGCGTGATAACTTGAAAAATAAGCAACCTCCATTTTGATGTGTGGCTAAATCTAGGCATTAATAAGATCACTATTGTCTTCTCAGTTGATTGGGGTGACCTGTGGGGTGTTGGAAGATTAATCTATGGTGGTCAAGGCCACCAAGCACGGTGGCGCAACTGGTAGAGCTGCTGCCTCTCAGCGAGCAGGTCCTTGGTTCAAACCCCGGTCCAGGGGCCTTCTGGGTGGAGTTTGCATGTTCTCTCCGTGCATGCGTGGGTTTTCTCCGGGTGCTCCGGTTTCCTCCCACAGACCAAAAACATGCATGTTAGGCTGATTGGTAACTCTAAATTGTCCCTAGGTGTGAGTGAGAGAGTGAATGGTTGTTTGTCTCGTTTGTCTCTATGTGGCCCTGTGATGGACTTGCGACCCTTCCAGGGTGTACCCCGCCCCTCGCACAGTGATTGCTGGACATGGGCACCAGCGACCCCCGTGACCCAAAATGGAATAAACGGGTAAAGAAAATGGATGGATGGATGGTCAAGGCCACCATTGGCCACCCCCTGGCTCCACCACTGCACCTGCAGGGTGATGAAACTTCTCTCACGACTGACCAGGATCTGCCACTCTGTGCTGCCTTGGACAAACAAAATAAAATAAAAATAAAACTCCCTCTGCTCTTCTCCACAGTGTAACTCCTCCCCACTTGAATAGCCATCCATCCATTTTCTTTACCCGCTTATTCCATTTTGGGTCACGGGGGTCGCTGGTGCCCATGTCCAGCAATCACTGTGCGAGGGGCAGGGTACACCCTGGACGGGTCGCAAGTCCATCACAGGGCCACACAGAGACAAACGAGACAAACAACCATTCACTCTCTCACTCACACCTAGGGACAATTTAGAGTTACCAATCAGCCTAACATGCATGTTTTTGGTCTGTGGGAGGAAACCGGAGTACCCGGAGAAAACCCACGCATGCACGGGGAGAACATGCAAACTCCACCCAGAAAGGCCCCTGGACCGGGGTTTGAACCAAGGACCTGCTCGCTGAGAGGAAGCAGCTCTACCAGTTGCGCCA